AATTCTGGTATTAGGCATTCTGGTGATGTTGTGCACCAATGGGGCCGTTGCGAACTGGTCACATTGGCTACACGTTTCGATTTTTTTTTATTTTTTGGAAAAATCACATTACATTGGCTACACGTCAATATTTTATATTATTTTTTATAAAGATAATTAGATAAAAATAAATATTAATATAAAATATTAATGTGATTTAACCGTGACTACATAAACATGAGGGCATGGGAGGGCACCGGAAAAAAGAGGGTAGACAACCCTTGTCCCAGACTAAGATTGGACAAGATCAGCTTATGAGCTGGTTTGATATTGCTGTGGTTTGAAAAAAAGTTGTTTCTGCTGTGCTGTAAAAATAAGCAGTTGTAATTAGAGATTTAATTACCACAGATTGTCATGTTAGTTTTCAAGCCATTTTCATTAATTTTCCTTAGCATTAACTTAAGTTACAAACAAACTAAAATCCTAGTTGGTTAAATAGTATTTCTCCAAGTTCAATGAAAATTGATTATTGCAAAAAAACACATGCTCTTCTTCTTTTAACCAATCCAAGGTCGAATAAATTGGCTCTTGCTCTGAAATGTTTTGTAACAGCCCACATAGAACAATAAGCATGGAGATCATAGTGAGCTACAAAAAAAAAAAAAAAAAAAAAGCAATTTATACCTTGATTAAGGAAAAAAACTTAAACTCGTTCAAATGTTGTTATGAGTATAAAATTAACAAATAAATAAGACAAAATTACCTAACAATTCAATCTCTATTCATTTCTTGATCCTCCCAAATTTTATTTCCATGGGATAATGAAGAGGTCAATTTTATTAGTCTTGAACTAATATTGTTTAAACCTCCGTACCTGGCAAAGAAAAACACATAAACAGAATGAAGCTAAACATCTTGTTCAAATCAATCTTGCAAGGAAAAAAAAATGGAAACTATAAAATGAACCTAGCAACACATATTCTGTAGTTTTTTTTTTTTTTTTTTAAGGCTAATTTGATATTAAAACTGACCTAATTTGAGCCTCCAAATCATCAAGCTTGGTAGCATAATCTTACTAAACCAACTCCACAGCCTTTCTGTGTTCTTCTTTATTCATCCACTCCTCCCTCATTTTCTTCACCTCTTCGTTCAAGCCACGACTTGAGCTGTGGCCATTGCCAACATCCATGCTAATATTGACACTCTTAGAAGGGAACTATGACACATGATTTTACTTATGTTTTTCAACCCACTTTTTTAAATATATATCAAACTTAAAGAACAGAGAAGAAGCTAAACGCAAATATTCTATATGTTTACTCTTCCTCAATTTGGAATGCGTTGAGATTCCAAGTATGATATTGGAAGTGAACACAATAAAGCGATAAGATAAAAAGGCAGCAAATTAACCAAGATAGTGAAGAACATGAATAATTAAGATTACAATTGGGAAAAATCGAACCTGTATGACCACGCTACTGTTTGACAAACTCAATTTGTTCCTTCAAACATGCATATAAGCGTCTTTAGCCTTGTAAGATATATCACAGTAGCATATTTTGGCCAAATTTCTATCCCTAATGAAAAACTTGTGTCAATAAAATTAATAAACAAAGAAAAAAGGATAAAAAGGTCGTACCCAGTGCACAAGGCTCCCGCTTTACGCAGGGTCTGGGAGAGGTGAATGTCGGCTAGCCTTACCCCCATTTTATGGAGAGGCTACTCATGGGCAAAAATATGCTACTGTGATATATCTTTTTTTTCATTCATTTATCCTTTTTTCTAATACTTTATAAGCAATCGTGGCCTAGAGTTATAAGAAAATTTGTTGGAAAAGGAAGAAGAACAAAAAAAGAAAAAAATGAGAGAGAAGAAAACCAACCTACATTTGAAGTACCAAATGATTTCGTTTGCCCGTTTAGGTTTCGCGTTACTTTTCCTCAACTCAATCCTACACGTCAACATCCAGTTTCTAGGGTTTTCAATCTCTGATCACCACCAATCCCCAGATCCATGGCGATGGATTCAATGTATTTTTGTTGCTAAAATTAATCACCAATGTCACTAACGTTTGGATGAGAGAGTGCAAACTCTTTGTGGAAAACAATAACAAATGCATTAATCACTGTTGATGAAATACATACATACAACACTGAAGAGTAAAAGTAAACAGTCAAACTACAACCAACAATGGTAGAGAACGTACATATCAAAATGCAAATAGAAACATGTGCAAGTAAAAAACTAAAGCGGAAGCAAGAAGTAGCTTTAAATAATAAGTCGCAACCATCTGGAATTCATCATCCATCATCCCTAATTGCACACTCAAAGATTGAAACTGTAGCGTAGACAATTGGTACTTAGTGCCCGTAACCTCCAATGTTTATATATATAGATGAAACTGCTCTGACTTGTTGCGCTATACATACGTCTTTTTTCTGCTTCTTCAGTACTGTAACCTTTACCAATGGCCTCCACTGGGATATCTGCAGTTTGAGATAAATTGATGGAATGGCCTCCGCCTATCCTCTTCGTCCTCGGCAAGGATATCTAACAGTTTGCGAAAAACTGATTTGCAAACGTGGTGGAATTTGCTCTTCCACGTTTGATTTCCAAATGGTACAATATTACTATTTTGTCCCTATTTTGTTGGGTAGTTGTTAATTATTTTCTGTATCACATTACACAATGGTATGGTAATTAACAACTACCCAACAAAATAGGAACAAAATAGTAATATTGTACCATTTGGAAATCAAACGTGGAAGAGCAAATTCCACCACGTTTGCAAATCAGTTTTTCGCAAACTGTTAGATATCCTTGCCGAGGACGAAGAGGATAGGCGGAGGCCATTCCATCAATTTATCTCAAACTGCAGATATCCCAGTGGAGGCCATTGGTAAAGGTTACAGTACTGAAGAAGCAGAAAAAAGACGTATGTATAGCGCAACAAGTCAGAGCAGTTTCATCTATATATATAAAGATTGATCTTCTTATAACTATTGTATCGCACTCTAATCTTTTCACCATAAAAAAAACACAAAAATAGTAAATAAAAAAAAAGAAAAGAAAACCACTCCAGATGGAACCGAAACTTTCCATACTTCCACTCAGAACAGTAGTTGCAGCAGTTGCCAATACTGGAGAAGTAACCGCCATTTACCGCACGTTCTAAAGATCTTAAATCATCACTTAACCCCCACAACATATACAAAGAGTAAACAAACTCACTTTCGTCTTCTGCGCAGACTCATCTCCTCCGAGTGGTTTTTCGAAGTTTCTTTTGAAATTCATCAGATATTTCCCGTCGGTTAGAATCATCTCACATTGGTACAACTTACTCTTTCTCCTAAGTGAATTTCAGTTTCGTTGGATTCTATTTATTTGCCAAGAGTCATCTCACACTGGTATGAATTATACACTGGTTTTTGGTTTAATATGTTTTGAATCTTATCCTGCAGCCTGTAGTTTTACCGGATCATTCTGTTTGTGCATATCCCAACAACCCAACCACAACCCACCTTTTCTTTTCGTTTTCTATGTAGATTTTGCCTCTCTGAGTATTTTCTTAGTTTCCAATGGCTTGAAGCTCTTCAAGGTTCATCAAGTTGTGACTCTGGGAGATGGGGCTGTGGGGAAGACCTGTATGCTTATTTGCTATACCAGCAACAAGTTTCCCATTGTATGTTCTTCTTTTCTGCCAAAAAGAATTTGACTGATTTGTGTGACTTTTGGGTTTTTTGGATTACTTTGTGGTTTTTTCTTTTTAGTTTCTTGGCTATGTGCTTCTGGTTCTAGAATTGGGTTTCTTTATATTTTGTAAATCTATAAACTAATATTTACCAATTTGGCTATGTGCTTCTAATTTTGGTATAGCTCTCTTTATTTTCTTGGCTTTGTGCTTCGGATTCAGGTACCACTTAAACTAATATTCTCAAAGTTAAGTTTTTAGTTTGTTCGTTATATTCTTGAAGGCTCCTAATTTCTGAGTTTGGTTGCTAATAGTTTTCCAATTGGTAAGAAATGACATTCTGGAAGTGCAGAGGATGCTTGGGATTGAAGGGACGCGAGTCTGCATACGATAAAACAACATGGGATGAACATAGAATGCCGGCACATGATCTGCGTCAGGGATGTGATGAAATACATGGGGCAACTGGTTGGATTGACGTGATTCGGAGCAAATAAAATGGGGAAGAGTGTGAGTGCATTGACGTCGTTCGAGCAGGTGGTGGATCATATGTTCATATGGTTGTGCGAATAGGAGGGTTGACACAATTAGAGGAGTGAGTGAGTACATAATTATGAGTGTGCCAATTCGGGTTAGGACTAGAATGTTCAACATTAGAGAGGGAGGATTTTCTGGTCCTGGAGCTCCTGATTCATGGAATTGCAGTATGGGCTAGGCTGTGCAATTCCAATTGCTTGAGTTGAAGAAAGAACTATGAAATTATGATTTTGTAGAACATCTCATTTCTGTTTTCTGGTAATTTGATTTTATTTTTTTACATTCTTTTCTTGGGCAGTTTAAGGATTTGTCTGATAACCAGTTCGTTTTTCTATTTTTAGTTCACATTTTCATGTTTTTTTTTTTAAACAAACAGTAGGGTGGAGTTGGTTTAAAGTATGATTTCTTTCTAACCAAATTTTTTTTTACTACCAGCCCTTGGTGATAGGATACGACCACTTCCACTTCCACTTCGACGTCGTCGTCGAATAAGGTCCGAGGTGACCATGGTGTGCAGATTACTAGACTCTGACATGGTGACGAATGGGATTAAGATAAGAGAGGGTCAAGTATAACATGAACCTGGGCATTGTACTCTATATACCAATTGTAATTAGAGATTTAATTACCACAGATTGATATGTTAGTTTTTAATAGCAAATGTTTAAGAGTTTTCTTCATATTTGTGCGGAAGAATAATGTTAGATAGACTAATTTTTAAATTAAATATGCAAATTATTTGATGTGTGAAAGTGAAGTTTTAGATAGACGTGTGGTTGAAAAGATACAACAAATGTTGAACAACCATAATCCTTTTGTTCATACATTGCGAAGCCTCGGACAACACCAAGATTTGCCGAATTGCAAGTTGATCCTAAAAGAGCAACCAATAGATCGGCGTCAGTATAGTCTACCATCAGCATCACAAGTTGCAGCAATTATAATAGATGGAGATGATGCCACCATTGCAAATGGAAGGGATATCGTGGTCGAGACAATTAGTGGAAGACTTTCTCACGTCCGAGACTATGTCGGATTTTATGATCCGTTACAGTATCCACTATTGCTACCTTACGGTACATGTGGTTGGGATGTTAATAGTCGTGATGATGGTGGAAGAGCAATAACATGTTGCGACTATTATGCTTATATGTTACAGGTTTGTACCAATAACATAATTTACTTCCCAATATATATAAATGAATGATGATTCCCATATTAAAAGCAATATATGAAATTTGCTTCTGCAGATACGCCATAATGGATCATCACTTTTGCTTCGAGGTGGGCGTCTCTTGCAACAATATGTTGTAGATAACTACATTAAAATTGAATCACAAAAACTTCGATGGCTGCGTTCTAATCAAGCCACAGTTAGAGCAGATCTCTATAAAGGACTTCAAGACTCTTTAAATGCAGGTCAACACAATGCAGGTATATATATCAGTTCAGTTATCGTTATTTAAAAATATAAGTTTGTTCAAAATCTGTACAATATGCATAGTTAATTGAAAATAAAAAATTAACAGGTAGCATTGGGTGTAGAATAATTTTACCATCATCATTTGTTGGAAGCCCACGTGACATGTACCAACGATATCAAGATGCAATGACTCTGGTTCAAAGATTCGGAAAACCATATCTTTCTATTACCATGACATGTAACCCAAGTTGGGAAGAAATCAAAAGTGAATTACTCGCTGGACAAACTCCACAAGATCGTCCTGACTTACTCACTAGAGTATTTCGTGCAAAACTTGAGCAACTAAAAGAAGACATCATTGAAAATGGGGTACTGGGCAGTGTTGTTGCGTACGCATACGTTATAGAGTTTCAGAAACGTGGTCTTCCACATGTGCATATGCTGGTGGTGTTAGATGAAAATGATAAGATCAATAACCCAGATGAGTATGACCGAATTGTTAGAGCTGAAATACCAAACGAAGACGTAGAGCCTTAACTTTACAATGTGGTGTTAAAGCATATGATTCATGGCCCATGTGGGATTCATAATCCTCAATCTCCATGTATGAAAAATGGGAGCTGTAAGAGAAAGTATCCCAAACCATTTGCACCAGTCACTGTTCAAGGGAATGATTCGTATCCAATTTATCAAAGGCAAGGAAATCGATTGCCCGTTTCTCTTGATCGACAGGAAACATAATGGTTGATAATAGTTGGGTCATTCCATATAATCCATGGTTGCTGTTAAGGTATGATTGTCACATCAATGTTGAAATTTGTGCAAGCATAAAAAGTGTCAAGTACTTATATAAGTATGTTTACAAAGGCCCAGATAGAGTGACAGTCGAAGTGCAATCAGACCTTGAATATGATGAAATAAAGCAGTTTCAGGATGCAAGATGGGTTTGCGCACCAGATGCATTATGGAAGATATTCAAGTTCATTATTAATCGAATTTACCCATCTGTTGAGCGATTGCAAATACATCTTCCTAATATGCACCAAGTTCAGTTTCGTGCCGACGAGAGCATAATAAATATTCTACATGATAAGAGTACAAGAAAGACAATATTAACTGAATTTTTTACACTTAATCATGTGGATGCAGAAGCGTGACGGTACTTATACATGGAAATCCCATCACATTACATATGGATTCAAGCTCAAAGAAAGTGGTCTAAAAGAATGAATCGTAACAAGGTTATTGGGCGAATATATGCAGTTTCACCTGCTGAAGGTGAAAAATTTTACCTTCGAATTCTTCTTAATCATGTTAGAGGACCAACATCCTTCACAAACTTGAGAACGATTAATGGGGTTTTGCATCCAACATTTAAATAGGCAGCAGAACAACGAGGTTTATTAGAAAGAGATGACAGTATTCGACAATGTTTGCTAGAGGCCTCCACAATTCAAATGTCATCGGCTTTACGAAGATTATTCGTCACCATATTGGTATATTGTGCACCAATTGGTGTTCGAGGGTTATAGGATGAGTTATATCCATTCATGATAGAAGATTATGTTTCCATGACTAACATGACTCCCACACTTGCTACCAACAGACTCTTGCGTGAGTTGAACATACTTTTGGTTCAATTTAATAAGAGTATAAACGAGTTTGATTTCCCCCAAATGACAAGAGGAAATGAATCAAGTTCAGGAATGACAAGATGTATTGAAGATGAGATATCCATAGGTATTCCACAACAAGATCTTGATGCAATTGAACTCTTAAATAATGACCAAAGAAATGCGTTTAACATAATAATGGGTGCAGTTCAACGATCAGAGAATGTAACTTTTTTTGTGGATGGTCCCGGTGGAACTGGAAAAACTTACTTATATCACACATTGTTAGCAAGCTTGAGAAGGTTGGGGCACATAGTTTTAGCAAAAGCATCATCTGGAATAGCAGCTACGATATTGCCTGGTAGGAGGACAGCACATTCTAAATTCAAGATACCACTTAGTCTCAATGCATCATCGATGTGTTCGATTGGTAAGCAATCTGATTTAGCAAAGCTAATACAAAAGGCAAAGGCAATTATCTGGGATGAAGCAACAATGACGCATCATCATGCATTTGAAGCACTCGATCGAACATTCCAAGACCTAACGGATATTGACTTACCATTTGGGGGAAAAATAATGATATTTGGGGGAGATTTTGACAAGTTCTTCCTGTTATCCGGAAAGGAACCAAGTCCGAACTAATCCAAGCAAGTGTTGTTAAGGCATCATTTTGGTCAGAGGTAAACATTTTAAAACTCAAACAAAACATGAGATCCATAAATGATCGTGAATTTTCAGAATTTTTACTTCGTGTTGGTGATGGGAATGAAAATGTTATTATGGATGATATGGTAAAACTACCTGAATGCATGGTCATACCATGGGAGAGTGAGCATTCCATCAATCAATTAATTGCCAAAATCTTCCCTGACTTAGAGGATTATATGAATGATGCAACCTACATGGTGGAAAGGGCAGTGATAACTCCTACAAATGAAGACGTTGATATGTTAAATGAAAAGATAATCAATATGTTTCCAGGTTTAGAAGAGACAATGTATTCATTTAATTCAGTTGAGGATGATGAAAGGAATTTGTATCAGCCAGAGTTCTTGAATTCAATCTCACTTGGTGGTTTGCCTCCGCACAAGTTAACTCTGAAAAGAGGTGATCCAATCATGCTTTTAAGGAATGTTGATCCGAAATTGGGATTGTGTAATGGTACAAGATTATTGTGTCGTGGTTCTTACCGAAATCTTATTGAAGCTGAAATTCTAACTGGACAATTTGCCAGATCCAGAGTTTTCTTACCAAGAATCCCTCTCAAAAGTACTGATACTGCCGGGCTTCCATTTGAACTTACAAGAAAGCAGTTTCCAGTGAAACTAAGTTTCTCTATCACTATAAACAAATCTCAAGGTCAGACAGTACCACATGTAGGCGTTTACCTTCCAGATCACGTCTTCAGTCATGGACAATTATATGTGGCTTTATCCAGGGGGTCTCAAAGTCAACCACAACTGTGTTAGTAAAAAATGGCTCCATAGTCGGCCAACAAGATGTATTTACACGGAATGTAGTATACAAAGAAGTCTTGCTTCATTCCCGCTAATTATGGTGATTCCTAATAGGTAACAACTTTATTAACGATAATATTTCAATATGCATTTCTCACTTATCATTTACCTCTTTTTATTTGATTTTTAATTTTCTCACTATTGTTTGTAGATTGGCAATGAAAATCTGAAGTGTCAATCAGGAACGAATGGGTGGAAATTGCAGCATTGATGTCAATTTTCTTTTCAAAAGAAACAATGACATATAGACTTTATGCGTATTGTGAAAATGTACATATTGTGATGTAGGTTTTATATTTTGACATTTAAGTTGTTTTGTATTTTTCTACAAGTATTTAATTTTTTCATCTACTTTTTTTTTATTCACATCTACTTACTATTGTTTATGAACTTTAGGTAGCAAATTGCCTCCAGATGATGTTGTTTGATAATTGCATAAATAACATTTAAATCATTACTTTAGGCAAAGTGAAAACAAAAAATATGACAATTTTTTAAGACGTGCATGATAAAGATAAAGTTCATATTTGCCCAATACATCTAAAATATATCTTGATAATTACAATAGAAAAAAAAACACAATATACCTTTAGGGGCGCATAGCGCCCGTGATGCAACGTGCGTGCGGAGAGGCTAGTTTTTTTTATAAAGATAATAAGACAAAAATAAATAGTAATATAAAATATTGACGTGATTTAACCGTGACTACATAATCATGAGGGCATGGGAGGGCACCGGAAAAAAGAGGGCAGACAATCCTTGTCCCAGACTAAGATTGGACAAGATCAGCTTATGGGCTGGTTTGGTATTGCTGTGGTTTGAAAAAAAATTGTTTCTGATGTGCTGTAGAAATAAGCAGTTGTGAAATAAAACTATAGAGTGTTTGGTAAACTTTTTTGTAAAATGCTTTTGAAAAAAAAAACAGTATTATAGTGTTTGGTAAATTTTTATGTAAAACAAATGTGAAAAAACCGATTTTTCAAAGCTGGGTTTTGCAACTTCTTGTTTTTTTGGTTTTTTTTCACAAAAAACAGTGAAAAAAAAACTGAAACTGAATGTTTACTAAACATAAAAAAGCTCACAGTTTTTTTTTTAATCACCTCAATCCCAAACTGCACCTATGTCCTTCGGTTTTGGTACGATGCAGGCAGCACCAAGAGGTAGGGGTAGGATTGACAAAAAAAAATGGGGTGGGGGTAGGATCGACTAAAAAAGAAGGGAGGTAGGTACCCCTTCAAACTATAAGGTCATCTCTAAGCGAAGGGTCCAGAGGGCCAGATTGCTGAAAATAACCCTAAAACCGTCTCCAACTGATGGTTAGGTCAGAGGGCTCGAGAATCTGGGAGGGCCCCACGGAATTTCAAAGGGCCAAAGGGCCAAAAGGCTGGCTGCTTTTTTTTTTTTGTAGTTTTCCTATTGCTGTTGGTTATAACCGACATCATTAAAGAGAAATTCTTTTTTTTATATAGTTTTACTATTAGTGTCGATTATAACCGACACTAATAGTTTGAATTTTTTTAAAATATAACGGCTAGCTGAGTCAGCTAGCCGTTGGGTTTTTTTTTTTTAAACATTTCTTTTCTTCTATAAATATGGTGAAGTTCTTTCAATTCATCACTTCATTTGCAATATTTCCTTCTTCAATATTTTTCAATATTTCCTTCAATATATTTCTCAATATTTCCTTCAATATATTTTCCAATATTTCCTTCATCTATAATATTTGTTTCAATTTTTCAATAATTTCCTTCAATATTTCCTTCATTTTTTTCAAAAAAAAGGTCTCATCTGCAATGAAAGGTAGGGCTTGGACCCGAAAAGAAGATGAAGCTCTTTGCAAGACTTATAGATGGGTCTCAGAAGATAGTGTGAGGGGGATTTCTCAAACAAGTGAAGGTGTTTGGACTCGTGTATCCAAAAAATACTTAGAGTTCTATGAAGGCACCATTCCACCGAATACCCGAAACCACGAAAGTTGTTCTTCAAGATGGAAGAAACATCTTCATCCAAGTTTGAATAAATGACATCAAGCACTATTAGCAGCAGCAAGTAGACATGAAAGCGGCGCCAATTACTATGACGAAGTTAGTGTTTTCACAGTTTATTTTAAATGTTTAATTATATTATATTTAATTTTTGTAATTATATGTCATTACATTACAATTAATTTCCTAAAATTTTTGTAATTATATTTTCCAGTTACGCCAAGCGAAGGAATTGTATATGGAGGGTAGCTCAAAACCCTTTCAGTTTCACGGTTGTTGGGAAATTTGTAAAGGGTGGGTGTTATTTGAAAATCCACCTCAACATAGAGTGGATCCTTTGGGAGCTGCATCCCCATCTATAGATATGAATGAAGATGGATCTCCTACCATTCAACAAACAAGGGTGGAAAATCCGACTCCGTCCGAAAGTTCTTTACCTAGGGCTATGGGACGAAACAAGGCTCGAAGGTTGAGGGAAAATGGCAAAGCAAATGCTGATTACGCCGCTCAACATGAAGTGGTGGCCTCATTGCGATTACTGGCGGAGCAAAATGCCCTTGAGGCGGAAGAAAGGAAGTGTAGATATGAAGAATGGGCCAAACAAATACAAGAAGAGATTGATGATAAGAATATGGAAATGAACACTTCGAATTACACTCCAATGAGTAAGGCCTATTTTGATAGAAAAAAAAAAAAGAAATTATGTCTCGGCGGCTTTTGTTTACCTCTGACTATACTCCTACAATGGCAGATGATGAAGATAATGTTGATTATGGATATTAAATTTAAGTCGTTGTAATTTTTAAATTTAAGTTAATATTGTTTTTAAATTTAATTTGTAGTATTTAAAATTAATTTGTAGTTTTTAAATATAAGTTGTTGTAGTTTTTAAATTTAAATAATAAATTATGTTTGGCCATATAACCCTCGGTTGGAGACGATTTTTTGTGACAGGGCTAAAACGAGTCATCTGGCCCTCTGACCCTCGGTTGGAGACGGAGGCAAATATGACTCTATACTGTTCATTAAAACATTAATATCTTGAGGAATCTTGGAGAGCCAGAGGACTAAAACGAGCTATCTGACCAGCACTCGATTAGAGATGGCCTAACCTCATTGACCCGGTCTGCGGCTGATATAGGTGGAGACGATCCAATTTCCCCACTCGCCCTCACTCGCGGATGCCATTCTCCTTTCAAATATGCCCTACAAGTTTTTGGCTCGCCTGCCTTCCTTTTTTCAAATAATTTTTACTGGGGGTCCCCCACAAGTTTTGGTATTTCATTTATTTTTTCTTTTCCAATTTTCTGGTATTAGGCTTTCTGTTGATGTTGTGCACCAATGCAGCCGTTGCGTACCGGTCACATTGGCCACACGTTTCTTTTTTATCTGTTTTTTTTTTTCTTCCAATTTTGTTATCAGGGTTTCGGTTGATGTTTTTCACCAATATGACCCTTTGGCTACACGTTTTTATGCTTTTCTATTTTTCCTTTTTTGTTTGTCCAAAGGGGTACAAAGTCCTAACCACAGTATTATTTGTGGAACTCATATAAACATCAACGAACCAGAGGGGCGGTACCTCCACTTTAATTATTAAATTAATTTAATGTTGTTTAATACATACACCTGTTAAGATTTTTTTTGTCTTTTATGCAAAGGAGATTGGAACGTTCCAACTCAAATTTCTCTTTCCATAAATTAAGTGAATTTAGAGCATATCCAAATATGTTATTTCAACTTGCATGACCAGTTTTATGATCGTTGTACGACAGAAATAAAATGTGCACATGTATGTAGAATTATCAGAATGACAAGCCAAGAGTTCACATTCAACTACACCAATATTATCACAACTTGGTAATTACCATCTACACAATCATTTAGGTGTGAAGTTTTATCACAAAAAATCTCGGTGTTATTTAGACTCTCTCCAACCCTGGGCTAAATGCCAAATTCCCCCTATTCCCCCCCCTCAAACCCAACCCAAGCCAAATCTTTGGGCTACAAGTCAAATCTCAATTGAGGGCCAAATTCCCCATAAGAAATAGCCCAGAAACGCGTGGACTCTCTCTTTCCCAGCCCACTCTCGGCCCGGTCACTCGCGCCACTCGTCCCATGTGAGCATTAGCCTTCAGCGCCCGACAGGGTAGGACCTACTGTTAGGGCCGCTGTCGGAAGCAATTATGAGCCCAACGGCTCTTTTGTTCATCAGACAGTTGGCATTATTGGACCGTTGGTTGATCCAAAGGTCCAGATTCAAATTTATTTATTTTTAAAATGTTATTTTAAAATGCATTGAATCCAACAGTTGAGATCGAATATAATCAAATCTGATGGTAAAAAAAAAAAATCTAACGACCCAAATTTAAATCCAACGGCTAACATAATTAAAAAAAATTGAAGGCTTGCTTTTGGAAAGATTTAGTGATTTTTCAATATTTATCGGAATTTAAATATTTTTAGATTAAAATGTTCATAAAATTAATTTACGATAGTCTACATAATTTTTTTTAAAAGTGAATTTAAGAAAAAAAATTAGCCTAAGTTTATTCTTCAATAATCCCGGGCTAAATTTTTTTGCCAGAAAAGTTGTTTCTGGGCTAAAAGCTAAATTTTCCGGGCTAAAAAATTTGGGTTTTAGCCCATGGGTTGAAGATGGTCTTAGAGTGGAGTTAAGATATTTAAATGATTACTTATCTTTTTTGGTAGGACCGATGTGAGATTCAACACGCCCCCTCATGTGGAATCCAATTAGTGGGTCACAAATGAGAGATCCTCGCATCAGCAACCACGTGGAGGCAATAGAGACTTACCCTACACACGGGGCCAAGGGCTCATTTTCAATAACACAATTATTGTTTCCAACTGGGTAATTATTACTTACACAATACACAATCTGTCAAGTGTGAAGTTTTATCAGTATTAGTTATAATGAAGTTAAGATATTTAAACTATTAATTATCTCTTAGAACGACCAATATGAGATTCAACAATGTACAATTGTGAAAATCAACCTTGTGATGCGCCCGAGCTACAAGGACAAAAACAGTAACATTTTGCATAAAATGCATATACGTGACCGAATTTAAAAATTTAGCTTGTTTACATACTTAGATGACTACATGGACAAAAACAGTAGTATATTATCCATAAAATGTATGAAGTTGATTGCAAAAGGAATGCAAGGGTATAATGGTATTTTGGATATCAATGAACTGAGGGGGAG